AGCATATTTTCTATTTTGCCAGCGCCGGCAAAATAGCCACTGCAAAAAAAAATAAATTGTTATGTCCCCAAGCACCTATGGTGTGCCTGTGGTAATAACAGAACAAAGCAACACACACAATTATGTTTGTTTGCGTTGCTTACTATATATTATGTCAACATCACGGAACTATAAACAACTTTCATACAAGTTTTAATCCACCACATTTTCTCCAGAAAAATGCCTGTGCCAAGTCAGGAATATGACGAGGGGCGTAAGGGGGGGGGGGGGGGGTATTTGCACGGAAGAACGCGAAATAAAATTGCAATTTCACGATGAACGAACATTTAAAAATTTCTTGCACGTTGATCTTTTTACCGATATCACGAAACACGGTGAATAACGAACCTTTTTCACGGCTGCACGTGAAATAAAAATGGCAAAACACGTTGCACGAAAATAATCCTTTACCACCCTCTATGACAGTTGTTTTTCATTTATTCCGTTAGTTGAGCATTTGATTTTGTCAGGTTTTATGGACCTCCTAATTTCGTATTTATCTTGGGAGTTCGGTATTTTTTTTTAATTCATTTTTATTGTATTATAAAACGTAAGATATACAAACTAAGTTCAATCATGATAAGTTCCCCATACCATGGATTTGGGGAGATCTCACTATTATAAAAATCCCTGCCCATACGTGCCGTATTCTCGGTTCTTTTTTTACAAAGTCTCGGATGATGGGTTTTGAATCCAGAGTGTTTTCTTGATGTCAACAGTCAGCAAAGGCAACATTTCCGTTAATTTTCAGACTGTATACAAGGTTTCGAATCAATTATGGTGTGCAACTGAGATGAACATTAGTTATTGCAGTCTATAAATGAAAGCGTTATGTAAAGTATAAAATTGAGAATGGAAATGGGGAATATGTCAAAGAGACAACAACTCGACCAAAGAGCAGATAACAGCCGAAGGCCACCAATGGGTCTTCAGCGCAGCGAGAAAATCCCGCACCCGGAGGTGGGCCTCAGCTGGCCCCTAAATAAAAATGTGTACTAGTTCAGTGAAAATGGACGTCATACTAAACTCCAAAACATATAAATGAACTAAAATTAAAAAAAACATATTAGACTAACAAAGGCCAGAGGCTCCTGACTTGGGAAAGGCGCAAAAATGCGGCGGGGTTAAACATGTCTTGTGAGATCTCAACCCTCCGCCTATACCTCTAATCTGTAGAATAAAGAAACATACAGCAATAGTGAGCAATACGCACAGTAAAACCCAGTTTGTTCAATTTTATACACTAAATTCCTTGGTCTGTGGTTTTTAAATTTAATAAGATTCTGATGAACATGATTCAGTGATCAATAATGATCTAATATAACATGGTATATTAATTCCGAGGTGAATAATGATGTAAGATCACAAGCGAGATAAGAGCAGTAGCCAATATCTGTACGTGTATTCTACCAGTGGACTATCTTTTTCATAAGCTATAAATATTATAAATAAATTACTATTGTTAAGTTTTGCGTTGCTTGATTGGTTGTTGGTTGCTTAACGTCCAGAGTAGTTTTGCTTTGAGGTCCAGATCTAAGCCATTATATGTTAGTGGAACGATTATGTCCCTCAGTGCACAAATAATGGATATTAACAGCTAGAGGTCTATAGAAGAGTTGGTCAACTCAACCTGCATTTCATGTATGAATACTTTTGATTAAGTTGCTTTAATTTTATTGCTCGAAGGCTCACATATCAGAAACTACATGTGGAATACGTGATTTTTATCAAGGCACTAATCATGGATAGTTATGACAACAAAGAAAACTAAGGACTGAGCAACACGACCCCAAACAAAAACTGGGGGTGATCTTAGGTGCTCCGGGAGGGTAAGCAAATCCTGCTCCACATGTGGCTACCGTCGTGTTGCTTATGTAAATACCGTTGAAACCCGTTGATAAGTATAATTTGGTAGGTCACATTCTAGGAAAAGTGAACGGGATTGTAGTTATGACAATTGGAACATATTCGTCGTCATCTGTGAAACAGATATTCCATAACGGTCAACCAACTTGTCATGGCGTCCGTGAAATTTACGAAGGGATGATTTCAACTTCACCACTTGGAACTATTGGTTAAATAACTTACTTGTGAGCAGCAACTCTCTATCAAGGAAATCATGATAGGAAATACAAGCCCTAGAATATCGTATCAACTGGGAGATATATACTCCGTATGCAAGCGCTGCTGGAATTTTGCTACATAGAAATGTAAAGTTCACAATTGGGAAGCTGAAATCATCTCTTTTGTCGTACAGTTTTGTTTTCATCTGACCCTCATTGTCAATTTCTAGATGTAAGTCAAGATATGAGGCAATGACTTACATTTGAATGACTAACTTTAGGTTTAAGTCCAGATTAGAGCTGATTGAGCCTTCGTCGTGTCATTATCAAACGTGTTAACAGTACACAGACAAGTTGCTAACCTTCTACGTCATTTGGTCTCTGATTGAGAGTTGTCTCTTTGGCACTCATACCCCATCTTCTTATTTTTATATAAATAAATTACATTTCAACAGGAAACTATTGTATAAATATCTTAAGCACTTACCAACAATTCTCATCATCAATCTTTTTTTTCGAAACTAACCATGAAAATTAAGAAAATATAGAAGAAATAAGACTGCATTCGCTTTATGATCATTTATGATCATTGCAGAAACCCTGGGCTATCAGATAATAGTCCCAGGTTAAACAAGCATATAAACAAGTTAATTTTATACTTATAGCCTTTTTTATGAATGATTTTAAACATCTTCTCTACTTGCCTTACACCTTTTGACAAGAAAACAACCCAGATATACATAATATATGTTAACGACGACAAAGTATTACATAATTGATGTAATGCAGATTGACATTACATGTACATATTGTATATATATACATGTGCGTTATAGGAGACTCCTTGGCAGGTTAATATTGTAACATATGATCTCGTAAATGATATTACCGTCTTTATAACATATGTGATGCTTTGATACTTTTACACACATGTATGTTTCAACGCGAGCTTTATCATTCTTTTTTTTTATATGAAAAAATAATAAGCGGTTGTCAATAGAAATTTTGTATATGTTTTGCTTGGTGGCGACCATTTGATTTTTCGCGGATTTGGGGAGGCACAGGAGAAATTTGAGACAGTATATTCATGTTCACGTGATGCTTCAGCTGGCTTATTTATTTCGCGAAATTTATTTTTAATTTTGTTTGCACAATTTTTTTCTGCATATTGTCGGGCAGAATATTCATTTTCATTCTGTTTTGGACAATATTACTTCTTTTCAGCTCTAACCAGGCCAGGATATTCATTTCCCAAAATCCTCCTATCCCGACCCTCCCCCCCCCTCCCCCCCAAAAAAAAAATTAATCAAACTGACGTCCCCTTAATATAGCAAAATTATAACGAATAAGTAGGAAATAAATATGTTTGACGTTTGCGTTATAGAAGCTGTCTTTTACAAAATCGGGAGAAGGGAACGCAATTTACCATGCAAGAATACAAAGCTCGATATTCATGGATACTTATCATAACACAAATTCTCATAAGAATTCAGCATTTTGAATTAGAAAGATATTTAGCATTAATATCATAATATGTACATTTCAACTCCTTGGGGATAAAGATGGTATAAATAAACAAGGTTTATTAAGTTCATTTAGGTTTTTTTTCGCATGATTCAAATATCATTTTGGTTTGATGACGTTCTTGTTGATTCGAGATTTAAATAAGATGTGTTAGTGATTAAGGGACTATTGAAATTAACACATGTGTTATCCATTGACGAAGATAACAAAATCAAAATGATTATAAGTTCATTTTAAAACAAGCAAAATTCCAAAAACGTTAACCAATTGAAGCAGTTTTATCTATTGGTTGACATCGTCGACATTTACATTAAAATACAGATTACTGGTCTTAACGGGGGTCTAATACGTTGTCATCTTCTACCAAAATTGAAATTGGTACCATAGTAGTGTTGAACGCCACTAGATGTAGAAACATCGGTCAGTGTTACTTCAATTTTAACATTACTATAGTATGAACTTCGGAAGCAAACCTGGATGTCCATCATGGTTATTCTAAATTTTCTATTTGGATACACACTAATCTTTTCAATAAGTATGTATAATTCTCTTGTTTGTATCTGTATATATTGTGAATACTTCTAAATAATGCAAAACTGCATACGCAAAACTACAGTTATTGTGTCTGGAATCAAAATTACGCCGTTTGTTTGTTTTATTACCTCTGTATGTTTGAAGGCAAGCATGAAGGATATATGTATATCGTATGAAAAACTTTCATTACGTTTGTTCGGTGCTCTAAATTTAAATATTTTCCCAGGTTGTAGTTTTCCCGTTCTATAAGTATACGAAACCGAACTAACTGATCTATACGCTACAGTATGTGCTAGCTTCCCTCATTTTGTAAAGACTAATATATAAATGGAAAAAAAGACGATTATGTAAAACTAAGCATTTATAACTAACAGTTACGCCCTTGGTAAAACAAAGAAATCCACGCAATACAATTTCGAAATAGAATTGGAAGAAGTTTTCGTTGATTAAATTTGTTCTGAAATAAAAAAAAAAATGCAACGCATTTAATTTTAATTCATATATACGAAAATATTAGATAGGATTAAATCATTGTGGAGTTGTATCTAATTCTTCAAATTCATAATAAACAGGTTCCTTTATATAAACATACAAAAATAACTAAGAGTCCCTTGTCCTCAGCTCCCCAGACTGTTTCATAAAGGAATCTGTTTATTATTTATTTGAATTATAAACTTCGTCTGAAATTTAGCCTAACAATGTTAGATAAACATGGATACAGACTTGTATACGTATATTATATATTTCAAATCAGCTTATTTTTGTTGTTGTTTATTGTTTGTATTTTCTACAAGCATAATTGTATACAGATTTACATATTATTTCTTTTTCCCCCAGTTTGTATACACGCCAAACCGCCGGGATTAATGTTACCATCGACGAAATCTGTGACACAGGTATTACTCATCGGACAGATGAGAAGTGGGTCGTCGTTTACTGGTGAACTTTTCAACCAACATCCTGAGGCCTTTTATATGTTCGAACCCCTACGTGGTCTTCTACAAGCAAATATTACAGATAAACAATCTGTTCTAAGGTAACATTGTTATTGTAAATTTCTTAAGATTGTGTAATAATCAACTTGAATGTAAGGGGGAAACAACAAAAAAGCAAAGACCTAATTGTTTGGACCAATATTTGTATACAGTTTTGTATTGCATGTATTTAGATGGCTATTTTCAATTGAATAACCGAAAATAAGTTGATAAAGATTTTTTTCAAGGGAACCCTACATTAAGAGTCTTTTCTACTGCACCATTTTTAATCGAAAATATGTCAGTTGGTTCTTGATACCTCCTGTATATCATCGTTTCTTTGAATATATAAATAATGTTATAACAATGTTGATCTGTTCCTCTTCAGTTACAACACTGTTTGGAATTAAATGATAGTGAATTGGTCTCATGATAAGGTTCTTTATGAAATATTTAGGATAAAGCACAACGTTGGAACCTACATGGCAATCGTTACTCAGTATTAAAATTAATTTTTTATAACCAATGCATTGGAATTTTATTGAAACCACTAGATTTGTTTAGAGAAATATCATTCTCTAATCTCTGCACGTAATCTAAGACCAAATATTATTGAATTGGTTTAAAGATCAGTAGGTCAAAGGTTGAAGATCACAATTGCTAACACTAGTTGTATATAGTATAAAAATTTCAAAATCTTGGTTTGAAATCTCTTTGCTCTGGCTTTTAATTTTTTTCAGAAATATTTATCATGTACATTCAGTTGGGTTGCTATTATCTTAAAGTTCCCACAAAATGGAAGAATTGTATAATTTTGTTCTAAATGTACCAAGTTTGTTTTAGTTCGCATAAGTGTAACAAAAATAGAAATTCGACCCGAAGAGTTTAAATCTGACCTTTGTATTAATTTTATACTCCTGATGAATTAGTTCAGTGATTGTTTTTCCTATTATTTACAATCAGAAAATTACCAGAAACATAGATAAAGAAAAATGCACTGAGCTTGCTCATTAACTTTATCTTTCAATTGTTTTTTTTTCTTAATTTTTTTAGTTTTGTTTTGACAGGTATACATTTGTTATCATTAAAAAGAAAAAAAATAAAGAATTTCAAATACACATGTCCCTTAATAGGCAGTTTGTTCCAACAAACATACTCAACCGCACTATGAGTTCGTTTTCTATTTTGTAGATCAGTGATTGGATTTCCTCTCGAAGAAGGGGTGTCAAACATAATGAAGGGCATTCTAGAATGTGATTTTTCTCAAATTTCTTCAAACATACTCAAGAACGATTTTATGCTTCGATCGATAAAGACTTCCGAGTTTTATACATGTTTTAGAAAAAATAAAACATCAACAGAAAAATTCCAAAAATGTTTGGAATCACTCACAAACAGATGTAAACAGTCTTCACTTCGAGTTGTTAAATCAATAAGAATGACAACTGAGTTGGCTGAAACACTACTGTCATCTTTACCCAATTTAAAAATAGTATATCTGGTTAGAGACCCGAGGGCAATAATCCAATCTAGAATGATGCTTAATCTCGTCGATGAACAGAATCTTAAGACAGAATCTACCGAACTTTGTAGCAGAATGGATAAAGACATGCATTTCATAAAAAAATCGACCATGAAAAGAAGGATAAAAATTGTGCGATATGAAAAATTTGCAAGAAATTCCGTATCTGAGGCGAAGGATTTATTCAAATTTGTTGGTAGTGAGTTTCATACTGATATTGTAAAATGGATCGAACAAAACTCTGTTAAATCTACAAATTTTAACCCATATTCCACGTCGAGAAACTCTTCGGAATCCGTAGGCCGTTGGCTAACGCAAATTAAACGTGAAACTGCCTTAAAAGTTGACGAATCGTGTGTAAACTTATACAAAGCCGTAGGCTATAAAGAATTCGATGATTTGATAGAGTAAATTTTGGTCTCATCACTCTTGTTTAAACTTGTAACTTATTATGTACTGTTTTCTAAAAAAAAAGTCTGTACATTTTCAAACGTATTCCAGCAAAGAATGATAAGAGATAGATGTCCCAGAACTACATCTCAGTTAACCGAAATAAAATGTTGTTATTTAAAATATTTTTATATAGCCGCCTTTAGTCCCCCCACTAATGTCATTGTATACCTGGTAACGGTAAGGGAGCCTACCATTTGATTTTTATGGCCGGGGGGGCTAGGATGAAAAATTTTGTCCTGCTTTTTTTTAGTTGTAATCTCTGTCCTGCCTTTTTATTTTTTACTCTATTCGGTCCTGCCTTTTTTTACTAGTTTATCCTGAATTTTTTTACACAAATTATCATCCTGCCTTTTTTTTTTTAACTAAATTGCTCATCCTGCCTTTTTTTTTACTCAAAACTCCTGTCCTGCCTATTTTTTTCAAATTTCATCCTAGCCCCCCCAAGTTTGTTGGGATGTAAAAGCGTTGACCGAAGAACATTTTGTTTGTTCTAAACATGTGCGCACGGTCAACGCTTTTACAACCCTATAAAATTACTAAAAGAAGCATGGAGTAATTATAATTAAGTTTTTTTGCTAGAATCATGAAAACACGATTTATATCAAGTTTTTCTTTCATTTACCTGTGCACTTTATTGTGGAAGCTCGTGTCATCATGAATGTTACATTTCATTTTGAAATGAAGGTTAACTTCAGAATGTCGCGAGATTGCTGTTAGCCAATCAAAATAACGTATTACAATGAAACATACATGTAATGTAATTATTCTAATATGACGTGCTTCTTTCGCTTTGTAAACTAAACAACAGCGTGATAAAATTCTCGATAAATCTATACTTAGCGCAGACTCAGAGATGTGCATATTATTGGCTGTTACTATACTCCCACGTAAATCCACATGTATCGTAACCTATGTGACTATATGGAACGCCAACACTGTCTTGTTATGCCCATTTTCATTATATGATGTGCATTTACCTTTATTTGATGTGCACTTGTCATTATATGATGTGCAAACACCTTTATATGATGTGCAAACATCCTTATATGATGTGCAAACATCCTTATATGATGTGCAAACATCATTATATGATGTGCAAACATACTTATGTGATGTGCATATATACTTATATGATGTGCATATATACTTATATGATGTGCTTATATACTTCTATGATGTGCAAATATACTTATATGATGTGCAAATGTACTTATATGATGTGCGAATGTACTTATATGATGTGCAAACATTCTTATATGATGTGCAAACATTCTTATATGATGTGCAAATGTACTTATATTATGTGCAAAGATCTTTATATGATGTGCAAATATACTTATATGATGTGCAGATATACTTATATGATGTGTACATATCATTATATGATGTGTACATATCATTATATGATGTGCAGTTACCATTATATTATGTGCAAATATCTTTATATGATGTGGTTGTGTCATTATATTATGTGCTTGTAATCTTATATGATGTGGTTTAGTTTACTTCATTATATGATGTCGAAACGTCATTATATGATGTGCTTTCATCGTCGTTATGGTCAATGAACATGATTACGATTAGAATGATTACTGTCTACGTCATAACTGATTCCGATCTGCTTCTGTAAACTATAAACCCAGCTCAAATATGTGTCTATCGCTAGCGAGAGTGCAATTAATAGGAAAAATGAGACAATGCAATTTAACAAAATCAACGTTTCAAACATTTCGGAGGTGGATTAAGATCAATTAATACAGGAGCTAATTGGAGAAATTTGCGGCTGTGGCGAAAATATGATAAAACAAATTTTGAGGCTCTTTATAGCTTGCTATTTGGGTTAAGCAAATGCTCAAGTTGAAGGTCGTACTTTGACCTATGATTGTTTACTCTTACAAATTATGACTTGGATGGAGAGTTTTCTCATTGGCTCTCATACCACATCTTCTTATTTCTATTCATTGCAAAATGCACCATTGAACTCACAGTCAGTTTAAAAATATTTCACAACAATAGCTATAAAATTATCTACTCGTGCATAATATGGCGAGATGGTTTGTTTGAAAAAATGTTAATTGAATAATATAAATGGCAAGATGTATAATGTAGTGTTACTCCTACAAAACCATACAAAGCCGGTAATATTTGTGATATGACGTATACATGTAGTATTTTGCATGCTTAGTCCACGTACTGCCCGCGAAATGCGAAATGGTCAGGTTGGGTAATGTTCACATATTTGTAAATATAGATTGTTTATTTTCAATTTATTTTAATGGAGATTTTTTTAATTGCTAATAAAATTCTGCAACTTGAGTATGACAACAGATTTGGAGTGGCGTCAACGGTTTCTGAGATACAGAGGGGTTGATTCCTGGTGAAGTGTTTTGAATCTTATTTTTCATCCGATTAGATGGGATTTTTTTCATTGTGTACTCATTTTGATCCTTTTCGGTAATGTCAAAGGATTTTACGTAGTTCATACGGTTATTTAGTTAAAAGAAAAAAAAAACAAAAAAACACTGAAAATCACACTTTGCCACACTTTTTCAATTTAGGGTATTTGATATTTTTATTTTCCAACAGAGATGAATGTGGTGATGCCCGTCTTTTGCATTATGTTCCTCGTTTTCGTCTCTTTAAAGAAAGAATTAAATGCATTAAACGTGTCCAAATCCTTACTGTGTCCACCTTATTACTTTGTCCACACTCTTTGTTTCAACACTTGCCCAATTGTTCCGCGCTTTCGCTGGCATCTTCTAGTAATTATAATTCGAAATACTTTGCTTGCTTGTGACAATGGTGTTCGACAAGGAGTAAACTTATCACCTTTTCGTTTCTATTTTCTTTACTTTTGATTGACTAAAAAAAATTCTTAGTGAGTAAAAATATTACAGGACTTAACAGAACTATACCAGAAGATCTGGAAAGAGAATTAGAAATATATCTTAAATTTTTTATACCTCCTGACTAAAGACTTTGAAACCTCTCTCTCTTGTTTTGTATAAATTGTAAAATTATTATTGTTATCTCTGTACTGATGTCATACATTGACTTTATGAGAATAAAGATATAGATTTAGAGGCCATAATTATACCGGTATGGATGATTGAATGATTAATTTGTTGATTGATTTATATTTACCGCCACTTTCAACACTTTCATGCTATTTCGTGGCGATGAGTTTATATTGGTGGAGGAAGCCGAAGTTCCCAGAGAGACCACCCAACCTTCGTTTGGAAAACTGACAATTCTGGTCAATTAAGATAGGAGTCGAGCTTACCTGCCACATGCGGTATTCGAACTCACACACCTAAGTGTCGACAGACAAGTGATACAGTAGTTCGACTATCCACACCACTCGACCAGCGAGCGCCCATCTCTTTCATCCGAAATGCTTTAAAGGAGATATGGAATGAACTTCAACTCGGTGGTTTTCATTTGCTTTCAGCTTTTTATTATGTTTTCGTGCATATATTTCACAACTTCAATATAGATGGTTATGGATGGATGCTTGATGTGCAGCGTCAAATTGATATGCATATTCGTACAAGAACATGTTACAGCTATTTTCCTGATGTATGTAGTTTAAAGGTTTGGTTGGCTTGCTTGCTTTGTTTTTTTAAATGTTTGTTCAAGCATTCAATAACATCATACCAGCTGAAACCCAGCCTATCTGTTGATTAGAATTGTAAAACTTAATTAAAATGCATGAGCAAACAGTTATAAAAACAAAGCAATCAAGCCAATCAAACCTTTAAACTACATGCATTAGGAAAATAGCTGTAATGTGATATGAATATTAACCCTGCTTTGTACTAGACCGACACCCTGAGCCGGATTTTTAACATGCTAGTTCACAAGGTAACTTTCCGAAGGAAGACATGTCACCTTACCCGGACAAATTCTTCTGATTCCGAGCCGACCAGCTTTTGCTCTTATTCCTTAATTTCGCGGGCTTAGCAGGGAAGCAGCAAATATCAATTTGAAAGTCTTTGGATTTGACCTGGCCGGGGGTCGAACCCATGACCTCTCCCACTCTCTATGCGAACATGCTACCACGAAAGCACCACCACATGCAGTAACCCGCAATATAAAAGGTTTTGTGGGAAGCCGCTCATTTTTTGGTGAGGGGGGGGGGGGGGGGGGGGGGCAACATTTTTGGAAAATGTTTGATTCCAAATTTCTTGAAAGAGATTTTATATTTTCAGAAGGGGAGCGAAATAGTTTGTTTCCATTTTAAATCAGGGAAAAATAAAACAATAATGAAATTAAAAAAAAAAATAACCATGTTCTTTTTTTATTAAAGTCCATCAAGGAAATACACGTGCTCCTACCCACACTACAGTCGGTGTCTAACAAATGATTAATATATAATGTACAGATCATCTGTCTCAGCTTTGGTTACAAGGATCTGACAACACTTCGTTTTACTTTCTGTCCTGGTTAATATTACATCAGCCAATAAAATTTCAGCCTTCATATTTTTGAAGGTGTGGATCAATCCGACAAAACCAGAGAATCCCAATGGTCTTGAATTGAGCGTTTTCAGATCGGCGTAAGCAAAGCTTGAACACACAATACCTGTAATCTAATTAGATTGGTGTCTAAATGAACTTAAACACTGCATTTATTTATTGTTTACTGAGACCTGTTGTTCTCTTACAGATAGAGAGTTGTATTTTGAATTTTTCAAAGTGAAGATTTACGGCAGCGGCTTTTAATATTTTGCGTTTATCCTGGAAACTATAATAGATTTAAAAAAACAAATAGTGCAATGTGTCTGAGTAAACTCTATAGTAAAGGTCCTTTTTGGGCAATTTTGGCTCTTCAGAGTTTTGTTGTTTTATTGGCTATTATCTTGATAACTTATCTATAGAGAAACCTTTTCTTGAAAACTGGTATAGACAAGAACAGATATAATCAAAGTAGTGAAGTACTGATCATCGGATGACCGCAAATTCTTGTGGATGGTCTCAAGCACTTGTCCCAGAAAAAAATCATATCTGTACCTGAAAGTAATGTTAATGTACAGAGATATATTTTTTTTCTGAGACAAGTTCGTGCGTGGATGATGAATAAAT